GCCTCTCCCCAAGCCAGCTGGGATCCCCCGGGGGCGGGGGGCAGCCGGAGCCCTGCTCTGGCGCAATGCAGAGAATTCCAGCGCCAGGGATGGGGCGGGGGGCTCATGCCCAGGGGGAGAATCCTAGAACTGGAAGGGACCTTAGGTCATCAAGTCCAGTCCCCTGCCCTCATGGCAGGACCAAGCACAGTCTAGCTCATTCTGCTCTTCTATGTCTCCAGTGATGGAGACTCCACAACCTCCCTAGGCAGGATGCTTTACCACCAGACAGGCAGGAAGTTTTTCCTAATGTCCAACCTCAACCTCCCTTGCTGCCGTTTAAGCCCATTGCTTCTTGTCCTGTCCTCAGAGGCCAAGATGAACAAGTTTTCTCCCTCCTCCTTGTGACACCCTTTTAGACACTTGAAAACTGCTATCATGTCGTCCCCTTTTAGATACTTGAAAACTGCTCTCATGTCCCCCTCAGTCTTCTCCTTTCCAAACTACACAAGCCCAATTCTTTCAGTGTTCCCTCATCGCTCATGTTTTCTAGGCTTTTCTTCATTCTCGTTGCTCTTCTCTGGACCCTCTCCAATTTCTCCACATCTTTCTTGAAATGCGGTGCCCAGCACTGGACACAATCCTCCAACTGAGGCCTAATTAGTGCAGAGTAGAGCGGAAGAACGACTTCTCGTGTCTGGCTCACAACACGCCTGTCCATGCAGCCCGGAATCATGTTTTTGGCAACAGCATCACACTGCTGACTCATATTTAGCTTGGGGTCCACTCTGACCCCTAGATCCCTTTCTGCAGGACTCCTTAGACAGTCGCTTCCCACTCTGTGTGCGAGATGCGGATTGTTCCTTCCTAAGTGGTGCACTTTGCAGTTGTCCTTATTCAACTTCACCCTGTTGACCTCAGCCCATTTCTCCAGTCTGTGCGGATCATTTTGAATTGTGACCCTCTCCTCCAGTGCAGTCACACCTCATTACAAACGAGGTTCAGAACACGCTGCAGCCGCCACCTTCGGCCCAGGAACCGAAGAACAGACAGGTGCTTACAGGCTCCAACTAGCTCCAAGGTTTGCCAGCCACATGCATTTCCTGATATTAAACCACCCTGCAGTGTAGCTGTTAATCCATCCAAGTGACTCACCAATCAGGATGCTTTTCCTGTGTTATTAACCTATTGCAGTTGATAAAATAATGCCTGGTCAGTCATTTTGCTGTGAGACAGGCACCCACACACACACACACTTGCACACACAGACACACTTGCACAACACACTCGTGTGCACACAGACACACACGGACACACTTGCGCACACAGACACACTCGCACACACAGACACAGACATACTCGCATGCACACAGACACTTGCAGACACAGACACACACGGACACACAGACACAGACATACTCGCATGCACACAGACACACTCACACATGGACACGCGTGCACAGACACTCATGCACACACAGACATATACACCCACACAGAGACACCCGCACACACACAGTACTCACGTGCACACAGACACACTCACGCGCGTGCAGACACACTCACACATGGACACGCATGCACAGACACTCGTGCACACACAGACATATACACCCACACAGAGACACACGCACCCACACAGACATGCACACACACAGACACACTCACACACAGACACAGACACACACACACACGGACACAGACATACTCACGTGCACACAGACACACACACACGCGCGCAGACACGCGCGCACAGACACACTCACACATGGACACGCGTGCACAGACACTCATGCACACACAGACATATACACCCACACAGAGACACCCGCACACACACAGACACACTCACACAGACACTTTACAAACGAATCTGTAGCAAATGAAACCCGGCCGCCACACGGCTCTGGCTCGTCTGGATAACTTCGATCGCTGATTTGGCTCCTGGACCACTGAGGTTCGAGTACCGCAGCGCCAGGGAGGTGGCTGCAAAGCCACACCCGCTTTCCCTGGGCAGCAGAGCACCAAGAGAGGTGTCACTTGGAGCCGGCTAAGGCCGTGCCAGCCTCCGCCCCAGTGGCAGGATGTAGGAGGCACAGACAGTGGCGCGGTTTCGGGGAAGTTGTATAACAGGGTGGAACCGGGTGTGAGACCTGCCCATGGGTGAGGTCGGGGACTGGCGGGACGAGTTATGGTGAGATACCGATGTGCTGCCCATCTCCCATTACGGAAGGTGAATGAATAAGGAACGTATCCATTTCCCTGGCTGGGCATCTGCTCCAGGATCTATCTGCACCATGCCAGCTAGCCCAGGTGGGTCTTTGTTTGCCGAGGGCCTGGGCAGTGCCTGAATTGCCAGGCCCCGGATAGAGGCGGTGTGAGCGTGTCTCATCCGAGAGCCGGTCCCCTGTGGGATGCAGCCAGGCCATTGCTAGATAGCGATGCCTGATAGCCATTTGCCGACACTTCCCGTGCACAGGGCTGCATGCCAAGGCCACCTAACTAGGGCTGCTTCCGAATCGGACTCATTAGCTCTGAAAAAAGAACCACTAATAACTTGGAAGTGCTAGCATGGAGCTCTGGCGGCGTTCCCTCATTTTTTTCCGCCCATGCACAGAATAATTTTTGTTCTGCGCACCAAGGCATGTGTGGCCATTTGCCGACACTTCCCGTGCACAGGGCTGCATGCCAAGGCCACCTAACTAGGGCTGCTTCCGAATCGGACTCATTAGCTCTGAAAAAAGAACCACTAATAACTTGGAAGTGCTAGCATGGAGCTCTGGCGGCGTTCCCTCATTTTTTTCCGCCCATGCACAGAATAATTTTTGTTCTGCGCACCAAGGCATGTGTGGATGTGCACCACCAGGAGAAACACACGCTGCCGGCTGTGGGCGTGCTGCTCCTCAGCTGGTTGGCATCTGAATCTCTCCTGGGTGGCCACTCAAGCGCCCAGCTTACAGGGAACACAGAGCACTGGTGAGGAGGAGAGGAAAATGGATATTCCCAGGTAACGTTGGCTAATAAACCAGAAGGGAGCAAAACCGACATTTGGTTCTGGGCTCACTGAGGACACGGTCCCAAATGCTAACGGACACCCATCACTGTGAAAAGTGAAAGTGTCTCCATTTCACACACGGGCGGAGCTATGGGGCCTGGAAGAGACAAATTTGGAACAATGGTTGAAATAGTCTTTTGTGTTCAGTTTTGTGGATCTCTTCAGCCTTACAAACCCTCCCTTGGTATCGACTTAGCTGCGCTAATTTCTTTGCCGCCGTAGAAACAGCTGCTAAGCCCCAGTCAGCTGATCTCTCAGAGGCAGTTATGTATGTGACGGCGCGTTGGGGTTTTCCCGTCTCCTGCACCCCCCGTAATGACATGGACAGACTCCACCAGCCAGTAGAACAGAGGGAGTTTATTGCTTCTCCAGGATACAGCACAGCACAGATGTCATCTGGTTCCAGGGCAGGCCTAGGATGCCTCAGCCCCCTTGAAATGGGGGAGTCTGGGCTCCTAAATCCCAGCCGGTTGCCTAGACTGTTTCCTCCATGATACCAGCCAGAAATGAACTAACTCACTTCCAGCCCTGCTCCCAGCCAGGGGCGACATTCCACCTTCCTTTGTTTCTCTCCCTGGGGGGTAGCTGGTCGGACAGGTTGAGAGACCCTTTTTGCATAATGACTCCAGCCCCCTGCCCAGCATAGCAGCCAGCAAGGTACCCCCACTATGTCACAAATGTACAGTTGGCCATGGCGATTGGCCACACCCGACCATCTCTGCGCCAAAGGCTGTGAGCACAAATCAAATCTCAAAGATGGTAACCTACAAAAAGCAGAAGGAGAACACTTGAACCTCCCTGGGCACTCTGTAACAGATTACAACGTAGCCGGCCTGCCACAAAAAAACTTCCAACCCCGACTGCCAAGAGCAACAGCAGCGCTGCACGTCACTCGCGGATTTCACACAATCAAATTAGGACTGAAGAAAGATTTAGAATGGCTCTCTCATTACAAAGGCAATTCCCCCTTTCTTGGCATTCATGCCTCCCCATCAGCTGCCATATCCTCCCTGACCGAATTGGGCTCAACCAAATGAACAAGGAGCTCGGGGGCACCGTATATATGAACAGATTCGTTTGGGCATCAGGATGTGTGGGTAAAACCTGCTTTGCCGCAGTACATCTGACAAAGTGGTCGTTACCCGTGAAAGCTTTCGCCCAAATAAATCGGTTAGGGTCTGTCTAGACTGCGCTCTAAAATCAAAATATGATAGGCCATTTGTGCTACGCAAATTGCATATTTTAGTTTGATTTTATTTCGAAATAGGCTGTTTCGAAATTTGGCGCGTCAAATACAGCCCCACATTTCAAAATAAAGTACTGCTTCTAGACAAAAATTTGGCGCGTCTATACGGCCCCACATTTCAAAATAAAGTACTGCTTCTAGACATCCCTTATTTCTCGTGGAGAGAGGTTTACAGGGATGCTGAAATAGCATGTCCATTATTCCAAAAATTATTTCGAAGTAGTGGAAGCATTCCATGGGCGCGGGATAGCTATTTTGGGATACTGGAGGTACCCCAAAATAGCCTTGCATTTCAGGCGTACCCTTCATCTCTAAGATGCCCCCGGACTGCTTGTGGATTTTGCCTCTACAGACTCACCCGGCAGCCCCTCAGATTGGCTAGCGATCCGGGGATCTGGAGAGTTTGCTCCTGCTGCCAGACTCCAGCCTGCCTGGCACTCGGACATTTTCAAAGTGCTTTGCTTTGCTGATGGCTCAGACCTGGGCTGATCCGGCGTATGGGATCAGAGGGCTGGGGGCGGGCTGAGATACAGAGACCTAGCCATGAAGGATAGCCCCATTCCCGGAGCTGGGATGTGCCGGGGCCAGTCCTGGAGGGGGGCTGCCGGCCCTTGGTTGAGAGAGGAAGCATAGGGCCCGCTTCTTTTACAGAAACAATTGTTAGGCCTTGTCCAGAGAACGGTTGCTCTGATCCTCAGGCTTTATCTAGCTGACACTGTGTTTCAGACTGGAATGTCCCTTTGTCCGAGGAAGACCATGGATAAGATGTTGACGGGACAATTCTCCAGCAATCTCTGCACTTGGAGGTCAGCATGACGCCCCTCTAGGCCTTGAGGAGCTGGGGCTGTCAGCTGTGGGGGGGGACACGTGCTCAGCCCTCATGGAAAACGGCCAGGGGGAGGCAGGTGCAGGGCAGGATTAAGGGGGAGGCTAGCTGGGGAGCTGCCCTGGGCGCCAACCTATGTCTGTAAGGTGCGCAGCGTGCCAGGGGGTGGGGCCGCACATGCGCCGTGTGCCCAGAGCATGCATCGCGTACCCGCTGCCCGGGGTGCAGGAATGGCTCGAGCCAGCCCTGGGTGAGTGTTTGCGTTAGGCCAGCATGAGATCCGTCAAACCATGTTGCTTAGAAAAGGGCCGGTTCGGTTTGCCTCCTCCTTTCGCACGAATAGACGCTACAGATTTGATGGGCAACTCAACTGTTGTGTGCGGAGGGACCGTTCGCACCCAAGGGAATGAAAACGCACAGAGAAAACACCGTTAATGTTCCGCTCACGCCGGAGCGCCTGTCACGGAAGGTGATGGCCAAGCGCCACAACAGGCATTGACACAGGGCGGCGTACGAAATCCCCCAGCCCTGTGCTGTGTGGGAGCCAGATTATTATTCATCTGTGTTACGGTCAGGTCTGGAGCCCCTTGCCCAAAAGCCCTCTTGTGCGAGGCATTGTGCAAACACGCAGCAGGAAACCGCGTCTGCCCCCTCCCCCGAGCTGACACTCTGTGCAACCTGCTGGCACACAAAAGTTGCCAAAAGTGAAAACCGGTCAAACTGGCTTTTCTGCCTCCTGTTGTTGACATTTCCTGGCCACCTTGCTAGCTCCCCTGGCGGCAGCTAGAGCAAAACCTTGTGGGGAAGCATCCCACAGTGCGGTGGGAAGGCAGAGCTGATCCCTGCGCTGCTTGGGATTCCCCCGAGGCTCTGGGGGCTCACCATGCTGAGGAATGTCCAAGCAGCACAGCCATCTCTCCAGTCCTCCCCTGGCAGCAGCAGCCTGC